TCTTGTAAAGTATGTTTTTCTTCAAATGTGACATATGTGAAAGTATCTTCTTGGATTGAAATATATGGAGGGAAAAATATAATTGTAAATGTTTAAACATATATTTTAAAAATATTTTTCAAAAATGTACAAAAAAATGGCCAAAAATATTGGTAGAAAATATATTTACAGAAATATGTTTTGGAACAAAATAAAATATTTTTGGTCATTTTTTTTGTATGTGTGTGTAAATATGCATGTATGTGTGTATATATAGAATTTAATATCAGCTATATATGTATGGGATAGTAGATGATACCATTGAATTCAACATCCCAGCCAACTTGTGGTCAACGAGGTTGAATATTGCGCAACATCTGAAAAAAAAGGATTTGGACACAGAACACATCGAACCTGAAAGTTTCATAGTGAACTAAACTAGACAGACATGTGCTGACCACAGAAAGAGGACTTGTTTACGGTCTGTTGGCTCAGGCCCAGACTGTCACTTATGTAATCAAGAATGGCTTTGGGGGGTTTGAAAGCAAGGCTGAGGTTTGTCCTTCTTGTAGGCCTCGTTTTGTGTATTGGTATCTGTCCTATTCCAACAGCATTTTAAACTCAACTCAAAAGCAGTGTGATTAGCACATCTGATTCATGATTCAGGCGTCCAGCCAAGCTGTACAACCACAAAGTTGAGCAGTGAAACAATATGGCAATAAGTGTTGCAGGTATGCAAACATGTGAATCCTTCAAACTATAGCAACAGCTAATATTAAACACATGACAGCTGATATTAAATTCTTAATAAACATGAATGCATTTCACAGACATATCGTAAAACTATTTACTGTCATAATTTGCAGAAACTACAGCTCTGCGCAATTAAGAAACAGGAGGACATGGTAGGACGTTCGGTTCGCTTTACTAGAACTTACCGTGATGACATGAACCTCGTCTGTTGAAAACTGGACAACCCGCAGGCTGAACACAACGGCTGGGCTCTTTTCGGATCGAATCCGCTGCTGAAGTCTATTGCACTCAGTGTTCTGTGAATGCATTTGTGCTGGTTATATTTACTAGCAGCGGACAATAAGCCCCGTCGTATTGCACACGCTGCCATCTTCCTTTAGCAATCTGCCCACGAACACATGGACATAATCAAAAGCATACATGTTAAACCCAAATCTCACATTTAAAGCGCGTGAAATTCAGGAATATTGAAAAGTACAAGTTTGAAATTACACTTAATTAAGTTATTACACTTTTCGTGCAATTTGGACACTACAAAGTGGAACACAATTTCCCATAATGCATTGCGACCGGAACACGTCGATACTACACATAGGTCATGTTAACGTTCTGTTAGGCCTGTCACGATAACATTGCGATATATTGCCCCAGAAATAATTGCGATAAGCGATATTATTGCAATTTTTAATGTAACAGCATAATAATGCAAGAAGGCCTACACACTTCCAAAGATGTATTTCCAAGAAAAAAAACATCATCTTATATTCGGGTCAATACGGTATATTACATATTGTAAAAAGGGGCATAATATGTCTCCTTTAAGAAGCATGGCTTAAGTGTTCAAACATGTTATGGGGCAATATGTACACTACCTTAGTTCACTATTTGCATATGTCGTTTGATGCCACTTACTATGTGAGGGCAGTCTCTGGTGTCTATGAGGACCTGGTAGTATGTATGCATCTTGCCCTTCACTTCTTTCGACCCATGGCCCACAGAGTCTGGCTTGCTGAAAAAGCAAACAACAAACAGGACCATTGAGCTGTAACACAAACCAAATCATTTAATCAGGTATAAGCCTAAAAACGTCCTTCACTACATACCTGTCAGCAGCAGCAGCAGGACTCACGTCTCGATCATAAAGACGAGCGTGCCAAGGGAATAACACAATGCCTCTATAGCCAAAAACACTGTGTAGGAATAGCTGTGGATTGCACATTTAGAATTAGAATATTGACATCAGAGAAATCAGAATCAAGGGTTTTGTAATTAAAATGTTCACTGACCTGACCAGTTTCATATTTGCCGTGCTGCTTCAGAGCTTCAAATACTCCAACAGGCTCCAGTATTTTCCCTTCCGGTCTGTTTCTGCCAAGAATGAATCAATTAAAAAATATATATAAATTGTAATATCCCATAGTGGGATACCAATACAGCAAGAAATATTTCAAAATGTATTTCACGGGCAAGAAAATAGATTTCCAATCTTACAGTAGCCTACAATTTAGACTACAGGCAAATAGTAGGAATAGCCCACTAGAGATCAAAAATAGATTCTTAATGATTTAATAATGTTTAATGTTTTTAATATATTGTAATATTGTAATTTTTTTGGAACATTGTTAAGTATGTTTCTTGTAAAGTATGTTTTTCTTCAAATGTGACATATGTGAAAGTATCTTCTTGGATTGAAATATATGGAGGGAAAAATATAATTGTAAATGTTTAAACATATATTTTAAAAATATTTTTCAAAAATGTACAAAAAAATGGCCAAAAATATTGGTAGAAAATATATTTACAGAAATATGTTTTGGAACAAAATAAAATATTTTTGGTCATTTTTTTTGTATGTGTGTGTAAATATGCATGTATGTGTGTATATATAGAATTTAATATCAGCTATATATGTATGGGATAGTAGATGATACCATTGAATTCAACATCCCAGCCAACTTGTGGTCAACGAGGTTGAATATTGCGCAACATCTGAAAAAAAAGGATTTGGACACAGAACACATCGAACCTGAAAGTTTCATAGTGAACTAAACTAGACAGACATGTGCTGACCACAGAAAGAGGACTTGTTTACGGTCTGTTGGCTCAGGCCCAGACTGTCACTTATGTAATCAAGAAAGGCTTTGGGGGGTTTGAAAGCAAGGCTGAGGTTTGTCCTTCTTGTAGGCCTCATTTTGTGTTTTGGTACCTGTCCTATTCCAATGGAATTTTAAAATCAACTCAAAAATAGTGTCATCAACACATCTGATTCAAGATTCAGGCGTCCAGACACTTAAAAATAATAATAAAGTGAACTGTATAACTACAGAGTTGAGCACCGAAACAATATGGCAGTAGTATTGCAGGTATGCAAGCATGTGAACCCTTCAAACTATAGCAACAGCTAATATGAAACACATGACAGCTGATATTAAATTCTTAATAAACATGAATGCATTTCACAGACATATCGTAAAACTATTTACTGTCATAATTTGCAGAAACTACAGCTCTGCGCAATTAAGAAACAGGAGGACATGGTAGGACGTTCGGTTCGCTTTACTAGAACTTACCGTGATGACATGAACCTCGTCTGTTGAAAACTGGACAACCTGCAAACTGAACACAACGGCTGGGCTCTTTTCGGATCGAATCCGCTGCTGAAGTCTATTGCACTCAGTGTTCTGTGAATGCATTTGTGCTGGTTATATTTACTAGCAGCGGACAATAAGCCCCGTCGTATTGCACACGCTGCTTAGCAATCTTAGCAATCTGCCCACGAACACATGGACATAATCAAAAGCATACATGTTAAACCCAAATCTAGCGCGTGAAGCGCGTGAAATTCAGGAATATTGAAAAGTACAAGTTTGAAATTACACTTAATTAAGTTATTACACTTTTCGTGCAATTTGGACACTACAAAGTGGAACACAATTTCCCATAATGCATTGCGACCGGAACACGTCGATACTACACATAGGTCATGTTAACTTAAAGACCACGATAAGCGATATTATTGCAATTTTTAATGTAACAGCATAATAATGCAAGAAGGCCTACACACTTCCAAATGACAACAAACTTTTGATTTTTAAGAATATTTAGATCATGGAAATTAAGTATCAAAATACTAGATACATTAAAAACCCTGAATAAATAGTAAATAAACATTTTTTTTAAACAAAAAGTGCAAGTAGAAAAAAAAAAGAAAAATGCACAAATAACTTGTATGGCGATTTTTCCATCTACAGATTTTTCCCTGACCTTCTTTTCTCTTTAAATTAAGGGGTTTCAGTCACGTGACTTTTTTGTTGCGGCCGCCATCTTTAGGACCTTGCGTAGCCTCTCCTTGGTGATCAGAAACCAAAATAACACTTAAACAACAACGGAAAACAATGGAATGGCGGCCGCACCACTGTGTGACGTCACATGAAACCCATGAATTGCTGAAAAACACAATCACTACTTAGCAGTCAGATGTCCGTATGCACAAAGGCATAGATCCCTAAACAAGACCATATCTGCAGATGAAACTTTTTTTGTAGAAGCATTTTTTTAAATGTGATCTAGCACCTCATGACTACACCACGTTATGTACGCGAAGCTGCAAAAGACACGGGCGCAAGTGAAATGTACAAAACATGGTGACATTAATTTGTAAGTAAATATAATGTGCGATACATTGCGTCACCAAAAATTATTGAGGTCATGTATATATATTGCGCGATAAGTCGATATATTGATTATTGCGCGAGCCTAGTTCTGCTGAAACGTTCTTCATTTATTTCGGCATTGCGCTCGTGTAAGGAGACGTTGGATTTTACTATTTATATAATTCATAATACTGACCCCAACTTTTCTCTGAGTTTAGAAAATGTTTTATTTTAGTTTTATGTTTTGTCCGCAAATAAAACAGAAGAATATTATATTATTAATTTTATATTATTTTCGCCAAATATCGTATAAATAAATGTAAACATAGTAAAACCAAACAAGCACTGATCTAGTCAATAAATATTCTATACAAATAATTGAATTTATTCTAATAAATTCCTTTAAGAATAAAATATTTTAACAAAAACCTGTCTTGCGCCTCAATCAAAAAAGGCCGAATATATTCCTTGACTGTAGGTGGCGCTGTGCGATTATGTAATTGGTTTGCAACCGGTCAATAAACACACTGAAGTTTGAGTACACTTAAAATGACATGATGTTACCATAGAGTAGGTGGCGGTATGCACCTAAAAGTTGTTTGCAATCCGCCAATAACTAAGAGAAGAAGAAGAAGAAGAAGAAATCAGCTGATACGCAGTGCTGTAAACAGGAAACATGCTTATATTAAGATAAAATATGATTATATTAGAGTAACATTGAAACAACATAGTTTAGTTTTGTTAGGAATATTTTCTTTTTTTAATTTATATAATTTGTGACGCTGATTTGAGTGTAGTTTTAGTTTTTTGATACATTAAACGAGGAAGTTCCTTTTTGCTTTCCGCTACTTTTCTATTTAGTGTCCACATAACCTGATACATTACTGTGATATATATACTACTAAGTGCACGTTAAGGTGTCCTGATCTTTAGCAGGCATCTTTGTTATCATGGCTTCTTCGTTTAAAATCGGAGAGAGATTTCAGGAGAAGGCGAGAGATTTGCTGGAGAGAGAATCTGCCATATCAGAAGAGCTGAAGGAAGAATTGAAGTCTCTGACAGATCAGTCCATCATACCATTCAAGACTGTGAGAAAACTACACAAGCTTCTTCAAGAAAATGGTAAGAAACATGCACATTTTATAGAGCAATTAACATTTTGATGTATTTGCTCATTACAAGCTGAGTGTCTTGTTTTTGTAGGACATCCAGTGTATCTTCATGAACTGTTTGAGGACAGCACACTTCATCTTCCGGAAGTCATCACACCTCCAAGGGTAAGTGAGAATACTTAATTACTATCTGTATTTATGTTAATATTAGAACTGATATTTTTCACTGTTTTAAGCTTGATAATCATAGTTATTTATTTTCACCCAACAGAACCCCCAGCTGGTGGCCCGCCTAGAAAAAATTAAAGCAAAACTTGCTAATGAAGAATATAAGAGAATAACACGGAATGTAAATCCACAGGTGACCGCTCTTCTACAGTCTTTATTTCAAACATGTGCTCTAAACATGTGTTTTTGAAAATCATGTCAGTATATTTATATTTTGCCCAACAGGAAATGAATCATCATGGAACTTTAGCAGATTTTGGACGACAAGGTGAGGATTTTCCCTTTTTCTCTTCTCATTTTTAATGTCTCTCTGTCTTGTTCATCTTACGTGTCGTTTTGTATCATGCAGTGCGTTCCGTGAAGGCAGTTGTTGTTACTGTATTCAACTTCCTGGTAACTGTAGTTGCAGCATTTGCCTGTTCATATCTGGGCAGCCAGTATATCTTCACCGAGACGACAGCGGTAAGTGCACACAGCATTCACACCATCAATGCACAGTTAATGAGGTTAGGTGCTTTGGAAAAAAACATATTTCTAATGTCTCGGGTGTGTTTTCTTTCAGAGAGTAATAGCTGCAGTGATCGCAGCGTCTGTTGTCGGTCTTGCTGAGCTTTATGTTCTGGTCCGGACTATGGAGGGAGAACTTGGAGAGCCCTAATACCAACTGAAATCATCCAATATTTCCATATTTTGTGTCATCATCAATGTTTTTCTCTGTACAGCTTCTTTTTCAGTTTGCTTAGTTTCTCTCCAAATCAAAACAGTGAGGTTGAGTGATTAGTCTTGTCTTGATCTAATATAGACTATAAAAGCTTTTACAAAGAAATCCTTTATACTGAAATGTGCAAGAATTCATCAGAAAGTTTAGAATTAATCAACAGTTTAATTAGTCAATTAAGTGGTTTTGGAAACCACTTCTTTGATCTCAAGACACTAGAAGGTACAATATGATCATGTTGTCTTGTTATTCACATCTATGTTCGTATTTATTTGAATGCCCTTTACAGGAGTGTTATTCTTTATTTCACTTGTGACTAAGAAACATTTGTGCTTTAATGTTTATTGCTGAATCATAAAATGTAGTGTGGGGAAAAAGTCTTTTTTTACAAGAAAATAATAAAAAACATTCAAGCTAAGTTGAGTCAAAAGCAAAAAAAAACATTTAAATCACACTCCCTGGTGATGATCATTGTTGAGAGACCAGCTTTGTTTAAACAGATTTTTACAGCATTTCCAGTTACAATGCAGATCCAGTGCTTACTGTATGTTGTGTACTGTACGTCCTGCACATGCACCTGTGTATCTGAGCTTTGGCAAAGCCACAAAAACTCATAAAAAAACAACCAGAAATGTGCAGCTCAAGGTGGCGTATGAAACTGCTCTTATGCCACTCGAAATTAGAAAAAAGACAAAACGGTAATAAAAATGTGCCAGTCTATTTGAGAACAAAGAATATATTGTATCTTATTAACTGTACATTGCTATTTCTTTCTTTCATCAGTAAATATGAAATCTGCTAACAAATTTCTCAAATGTCCCTATCTTTGCAGTCTATAAATTGGCTCCATAATCCACTAGCCTAAAATAATAGTTCACCCAAAAACGAAAATGTACTGACCCTCAGGCCATCTAAGATGTAGATGAGTTTGTTTCTTTATCTGAACAGATTTGGATAAATTTAGCATTACATCACTTACTCACCAATGGATTCTCTACAGTGTATAAGTGTCATCAGAATTAGAGTCCAAACAGCTGATAAAAACATCACAATAATCCACAAGTAATTTGCACGACTTCATTCCATCAGTTAACGTCAGAAAGCTGTTTTAATAAACAAATCCATCATTAAGGCATTCAACTTTAAACTGTCATCGCTGTTGGCCAAAATATGAGTCCATAATCCATAATAACACTTCCTCCAACGAAAAGGTCCATCCCCTGTTGTCCTCTCACATCCAAATCCACCAACATATTTGTTTAGAACTGTTTTCACTTGTAAATGGTGCATGATCTGTGCAGCTTTCTTTCCTGATTCAGACAAGACAACTTTTTCACTTGACAAAGCAACAGAGGACTCATTCCTCATGAAGTTAAAAAAGTTTTAATGATGGATTTGTTTCTTACAAACACGCAGACAAGACGTTAATTGATGGACTGGAGTCGTGTGGATTATTGTGATGTTTTTATCAGCTGTTTGGACTCTCATTCTGACGGCACCCATTCACTGCAGAGGATCCACTGGTGAGCGAGTGATTTAATGCTAGATTTCTCCAAATCTGTTGGCCTGAATACGAGTACACCGTCAGCAAATTAGAATTTTTGGGTGAACTATTCCTTTAAATTCAAGCTGTTTAGTAATAAATCAGAGGCCACCATTTCTAAAAAAAAAAAAAGAGCGTGCCATACACAAAAGCCATGTCAATGACCTTTTCTTGACTAAAATGCCACCGTAGAAGCGTCATGATTGAAATGGTGTGGGTTCCCGTGGACATTTTGCAACCCCATACCATAGTGACATAGTGACAAAAGTTCAGTTTTGTCCAGCAGGAGGCAGTGCAGAGGGTTCAACTGGGGCTGAAGAGGCCGAGATCTCACTCAAACTTGCGCAAGTGGTTATATAGTGACTGGACGTAAGTAAAGACACACATGGGGTCTGGCTTTCTGCCCATCACCATCATGTCCTCCACTTCAATGAGCCTGTCGCAGCCGGCTTTCTTCCTGGAAATACAGAGAAACAGATTTAACAGGGTTGGACGTGTATGGCTGTTTCTATTCATTCTCCATGTCCGTTGACTGTTTAAGTTAATATGATGAGTGTAATACATATGTTCGGATGACGTTGGTAGTGCAGTCATAGGCGTATGTGAATATTTCAGGATGTGGGAATTGGGACACAGGAGTTGTAGGAGCATGATGTCATGCTGCAGGCCAGGGCTGTCAGGTCGGAGTAGCCGTTCAAAGGGAAGAGGAGGTTCCTTTGAGCTCAACAGGGATTTGTTGGCATGCGTTAGTGGTTTAAAGTGCGCTTTACGGACACCCTAGACTCAGATGCATCGGAAACTAAGTAACATTATCTTCTGTGCCCTACTGTGAGGTGATGTGGAGCACAACTGCATATGATTTGTGTCAACTTGTATTTTGGAATTATTTTGTTCAGCTTTTTAGGTCGGGTCACGTTAAGTTCTCATCTGTCCGGTCTATTTCTATTTAAAGACTTTTAATACTTTATTAGAGCTTTTACATGACAATCAATATGCTGTCTTTATTTACTCACCCGTATGTCATTACTGAATTGTATTTATTTATTTTTCCATAGAACGTAAAGGGGGATTTTTACAAGAATCTTTACAAAACTCTTTTCATAATGACCTGTTTTTGATAATTTTATGCAGATTTTTGTGTATTTTGGAGCTTGTCAGACGTTATGGGTTTGAAATTTCTTAATGTAATTTATACCTGCGATGGCAAAGCTGAATTTTCAATAGTCATTCATTACTCCAGTCTTCAGTATCACATGATCCTTCAGAAATCATTCTAACATGCTGATTTGCTGCTCAAGAAATATTGTTACTATTAACTATGATGAAAACAATTGTGCTGTTTAATATTTTTGTTTAAAAAAAAAATCATATTTCTTGTTAATTGTTTTTTCTCTCTCTCTGTCATCTACCCTTTTCAGTGACTGATGGGATGACAGTAAGACAAACTACTCAACTTAAGAGGTTAAGGCACCATGAAGTGTGTTGACATCTCAATGCTATTGTGAAAAGGCTGAACAGAGTTGCCTTCATTCCAGTGACTTACTCTGCAGTGCTGAATGCCAACTCAAAGTTATGTTTGCGGTCAACAGGGGACAGGACATTGTAGTCAAACTCTGTGGGGAAGAAAGAGTGGACCAGGGCGCAGAATGCCATGCCGTCACTCCAGCTGGATGAGAAGTTTTGAATGTCGATGTTCTGCAGATTAACCGGAGAGAGTGAAGCTATTATATTTCACAGCACACTGGGGTTTTGCTCACATACCCTTCAACACAAAGTCAAAATTGGCTTTATTATTTTCTTAAATGTTCCTGGTCTCACTCAGCTTGACTCATCAGTGCATGTTATTCCAAAAAAACCTGCATTTGTAATTTATCAAATTAACTGTATAAAAATACAGATAAAAAAATATATATGAATAAAAATATATCTATGCCTCACACACCTAAATCATATACGTAGGTAGGCGTAGGATATATATAGGGTTATTATATTTGATTAAAACTAAAATTATAACAATAGATTTTTCACAAATAAAATAAACATTAACTGAAATTAAAATAAGATATGAAAAACTTAAACTATTTTTGTAATGTGTAGTGCTATTTAAAGCACACAACAAAGGAGTATTATCCAAAAATAGTCTTTTAATTATTAATCCACAAGGAATACACACAGGAAAATCACAGGAGTTAACCGGAGAGAGTGAAGCTATTATATTTCACAGCACACTGGGGTTTTGCTCACATACCCTTCAACACAAAGTCAAAATTGGCTTTATTATTTTCTTAAATGTTCCTGGTCTCACTCAGCTTGACTCATCAGTGCATGTTATTCCAAAAAAACCTGCATTTGTAATTTATCAAATTAACTGTATAAAAATACAGATAAAAAAATATATATGAATAAAAATATATCTATGCCTCACACACCTAAATCATATACGTAGGTAGGCGTAGGATATATATAGGGTTATTATATTTGATTAAAACTAAAATTATAACAATACATTTTTCACAAATAAAATAAACATTAACTGAAATTAAAATAAGATATGAAAAACTTAAACTATTTTTGTAATGTGTAGTGCTATTTAAAGGAGTATTATCCAAAAATAGTCTTTTAATTATTAATACACACAGGAAAATCACAGGAGCAAACGTAGCACACAATTGTAAAGCAAAATAACCGGCAATGACTGAACAGAACAGGGAGTATAAATAAGGAGACTAATGAATGAGTGACGGCTGCAAATCATAATTAACATAGAAACAAATCAGGACTGATCAGAAACTAGGGCAACAGAACTAAACAAGGCAGGAGAACAGGAAGAGAGAAACACAACCAAAAGTCCATAACTGTGACAGTAGCTCCCCCTCCCTCCCAGAAGGCACGATCTGGAGGAGGATGCGGAGGACATGCAGGACAGGGAACCAGGGAAGGAGGTGGATGGAGAGACCAGGGTGGAGCTGATGGTGGGAGGAGCCATTGAGGGGCCAGGAGCAGGAGGAGCCAGGTGTTGGTCCAGAGACCAGTCAGGCCGAGGCCCCAGGGTGGAGTCGAGGGAGGAGCCATTGTGGAAACTTGGCAGACGACACCCTGGGGACGAGCGATGGAGACGGAGCCGCTGGAGGTGGAGCCAAGCAGACGGAGAGCCAGGGTGACACTCGAGGTCCGGAGGGCCAAGGCAGAGCTGACAGCTAATGCGAGCGAGGCAGAGACGGGGACCCGGAAGACCGCGGTGGAGCCAGAGCGACTGAGGACAACGGTGGAGCCGGAGGGAAGGAGGAGCCAGAGGGATGGAGGGACGAGGCAAAGCCGGAGGAGTGGAATCCCGTAGCGGAGGAAGGTTGACGACTGACCAAGGCGGAGCCGGAGGGACGAGGGAGCCCAATGGGATGACGGTGGCGACGAGGGAGCAAGGAGTCAAGGTGGAGCCAATGGGTTGGAGGACCGAGGTGGAGTCCAGGACTCGAAGGCTGGAGGCGGAGAAAGGGTATCCTCATGCCTGGCAGAGCTGGAGACTGGAAGGCCAGAGGCGAATCATAGTGCCCTGATGGTGCTGACTGAGGGTGAACTGAGGGACTGACAGGAACCAGTGGAGGCACGGCTGAGGAACTGGCTGGTTCTAGGAGAGGAGGCGGGAGAGGGAGGAAAATTAAGAGAACATGAGCTGGGCGGAACCAACGACAGCTCACCCTCAGTGGCGGGAGTGTGGGCGGGGCTTCCCTTCAAGCCGTCGATCTCCACTAGTACTCCCTCAGGCACGTGCAGTGTTGGCGGCTCACACACCTGGTCAGATGCGTCAACAGCCTCTGTCTCCGGGGCGATGGGAGGCACAGTCGCTTCTCCTCGCGCTGGCTCTTCAGTTGCAAAGGGCTCGAGCTCTCCATCTGCGGTGGGCTCAGGCAGATGCTCCGTGCAGCTGAGCATTGATGGTTGGCTGGGCTCTGGGTCGGGAGTGGGGCTGGAGATGTCCCTCTCAGCGGGGCAGACAGAGAAATATAGTCCATTACTCTCCAGCACCCTCTCCACAAATGCGGCAAAACTCCCTCAAGGATTTTCCCCGGACAGCTTTGCCTTTATCGAGGTGTTCAGTCCGATGAAATTAAAGGAGTACAGGCAGCTGTCCGGGAAATGTGTTAGGTAAGCAAGATCTAAAAAATTCATTGTGTGGTCCTTGAGGGAGCGATCCTCTTGCTCCAGGCAGAGGAGCTTGACAGCAGACAAATCCATAAAAAAAAAAAAAAAAGGACAAAACAAAAGGAGAAACGCCGTAAATACTCAATTTGTGGCCGGTTATTCTGTAACGTGTAGTGCTATTTAAAGCACACAAGGAAGGAGTATTATCCAAAAATAGTCTTTTAATTATAAATCCACAAGGAATACACACAGGAGAATCGCCGGCCCAAATGTACCACACACAATGGTACGGCAAAATAACCAGCAACGACTGAACAGAACAGGGAGTATAAATAAGGAGACTAATGAATGAGTGACAGCTGCAAATCACAAGTAACTATAGAAAATCAGGACTGATCAGAAACTGGGGCAACGGAACTAAACAAGGCAGGAGAACAGGAACAGAGAAACCCAACCAAAAGTCCATAACTGTGACAATTTTTAGATAGTTGCCAACATTTTTATTTTCATTTAGTTTAACTTGATGCTCTAAAATAACTTAATATAAATATGTAAAAAATATACAAATGAAAAACTAAGAAAAATTATAAAAACAACAAAATGACTCAAATTTAATAAAAAAAAACAAACATTTTTATTTTCATTTAGTTTAACTTGATGCTCTAAAATAACTTAATATAAATATGTAAAAAAATATACAAATGAAAAACTAAGAAAAATTATAAAAACAACAAAATGACTCAAATTTAATAAAAAAAACTATCTATACTATAATGTAGCATCTACGTGATGCTAAAATAACACTGATACTCTCTCTCTCTCTCTCTCTCTCTCTCTCTATATATATATATATTCTTGTAAGTTTGAGTAGTGTGCTGAATTTATATTTATATTTAATTTAAGAATGTAATAAATCTTAAGGGAATAATAATAACGAATAACAATAGACTGGAAAAAGAAGGTATGATTCTTCTAGCATTATGAAAGGCATAGAACAATAATAATTTTCTTTGAGAGTCTGCAGACGTGATTTTGGTTGTCAGAGCAGATGTTTTATTGTTGTCTGGCTCTTATCTTCATATGCTGGAATTTTCTGTACACCTCATCATTTAATTTAATACATCATTTTTCATCCGTAGCTGGCAAATCTGACAGGCTAAGACAGTATCTGTCACTGAGGGAAATGGAAACCGTCACGCGTGTTGTCAGCTGTCTGCTCTGGTTCTCATGTTTATGTACTACTCTCTCTTGACACTAAATTAGGCTTGACCATTACATTACTATCTCTAACTAAAGCCACATGGGGTTGGGCTGGTTTGCAAAGCCGCACCAGAGTCAAGCAGAATATATACACAGAGGAACACTAATACCACACATATAATGACCATTCACTCTCTTCCTGATGTTAATAAAGTTGATATGTTAAAGCTAATGAAGAGAATAACACTTCATAATGTGCTAAATCTTAAAATAACAGTATGAGAAGCCCTGTGATGCATGATAATTCTCATCCCATCAGGTTGAAGTGTTGTTAAACCTTTCATAGTTTTAAAACACTGGCTATGCTGATATGTGTGCAAAGCTCCCTTTTTTCTCCTGATTTGAGATAAATCCCATGATGTTTATGGAATGTCTTACCTGGTACCCAATGGTCTTGGATCGACACCATTCCAGAAGAATCTGCTTGATACTGCTAGCACTGGATACTCCAAAGCTTTGAGAGCGTTTCAGCTTTGGTTTGGAATCCACAGGCTTGGGTCGACTGAGTTGGGTAGATCAATGCAAGAGGGTTTTTTTTGTGATTGACTTTTCAGAGCATGAAAAAAAGGTTGCTTAGACATGCAGGATGATTCCATTACCTGTTGTTCTCAGAGTCCAGCCTCTCAAAAATGGACCTGCGAGCCTGGGCTCCAATGTTTCGAGGTAAAGTCTGGGACCTCACAAGCTCCCGTCTGCGCTCAATACCTCTACCGAAGGATAAATCTCCTGACATATCCACATTCCTGATACAAAGAGTTAAAAGATGACTCAGAAACGTTTCAGTTCTGTGCAATATTACAAATTTTTTGGCAACACTTCATGATCAAATTATTTATACATTTTGTATTTTTAAAGTTTTTATAGATTTCACAGTTGTCTAATCCAAGGGTGTAGGTTTGGTTTTTAACGGAACACTAATACCACACATATAATGACCATTCACTCTCTTCCTGATGTTAATAAAGTTGATATGTTAAAGCTAATGAAGAGAATAACACTTCATAATGTGCTAAATCTTAAAATAACAGTATGAGAAGCCCTGTGATGCATGATAATTCTCATCCCATCAGGTTGAAGTGTTGTTAAACCTTTCATAGTTTTAAAACACTGGCTATGCTGATATGTGTGCAAAGCTCCCTTTTTTCTCCTGATTTGAGATAAATCCCATGATGTTTATGGAATGTCTTACCTGGTACCCAATGGTCTTGGATCGACACCATTCCAGAAGAATCTGCTTGATACTGCTAGCACTGGATACTCCAAAGCTTTGAGAGCGTTTCAGCTTTGGTTTGGAATCCACAGGCTTGGGTCGACTGAGTTGGGTAGATCAATGCAAGAGGGTTTTTTTTGTGATTGACTTTTCAGAGCATGAAAAAAAGGTTGCTTAGACATGCAGGATGATTCCATTACCTGTTGTTCTCAGAGTCCAGCCTCTCAAAAATGGACCTGCGAGCCTGGGCTCCAATGTTTCGAGGTAAAGTCTGGGACCTCACAAGCTCCCGTCTGCGCTCAATACCTCTACCGAAGGATAAATCTCCTGACATATCCACATTCCTGATACAAAGAGTTAAAAGATGACTCAGAAACGTTTCAGTTCTGTGCAATATTACAAATTTTTTGGCAACACTTCATGATAAAATTATTTATACATTTTGTATTTTTAAAGTTTTTATAGATTTCACAGTTGTCTAATCCAAGGGTGTAGCTTTGGTTTTTAACAAAGCCAGGAGACTAATATAAACCCTATAACCATTTTAAATGACCATTTTCCTAAATTATGTTTTTACTGGGGACACCGTCTGCTTGAAACAAGACTTAACTCAACCACAGGTGTGTACTAGACAGCATCACTTTTAATTAAATGTTACATAACATTTAAAAAAAATAATTTAGTTTAGAAAGGGAAACAAAACATGTTTATTTTACAAAAAAATAAACCCTTTCAGTTCAGTTAGCTGCTGGTTATTGTGTATGCTGCTGCTTGTTACCTTGTGTTTTGTATGAATCTTCATCATGTTGGATTACTAGTCAAGTCACCTTTATTTATAGAGCGCTTTTAACAATACAGATTGTGTCAAAGCAACTGTACAGCATTAATTAGGAAAATAGTGTGTCAATAATGCAAAATGACAATAGTAAACACAAATTTTTCAGTTAAAGGCAGTTCATCATTGAATTCAGTGATGTCATCATCCAGCTCAGTTCAGTTTAAATAGTATCTATTAAATGTTATTTGGATTACCTTCGTCTTCGTGCACCTCCCTTCACAAGAGTGTGACACTAATGCTGGGTACACACCACAAGATAATCGGGCTAATTTTGGGCCGATTTCTCCCCTTCCGACAATCCTAGGTAATGTCCCGATGATCTTGGTGGTTCTAAAGATTATCTTATCAGATTTTCCTGTGGTGTGAGGTGTGTTAAGAGTGACTGAATCTGCTCGGAAGAACGCTCGGAGGCGCCCCGATTGTGAATCAGAAATCCTGATGTGTGGGGGGAACATCCTGGCACACCACACATTAGACGAACAAAGCGGTTAAATCTAGGATTTTTTTGTCCTCGTGTTTGTGTTGTGGTCTCTCACATTTTGAAGATCTTCTAAGATTTTAAAAATCTTTTAGTGTGTACCCAGCATAAGTTAATGCTAATTTATAAATATACCACTCTTCATTGTTATTTCATGTTTGTTTTCAATACGTCATGTTATTTTATACAACTTGGAGTGTTCAACAAATACTTCAGAATACACTGTAAGACAAAACATGTAGCAACACAAACAATGAGACAGACTTTGTGATAAAAGCACATTCTGTATATATGAGTCACAGAGAATGGTTGAATTTGTCCTACCACTAAGCCGTGGAGAGCCCATAGTCCTGGCAGGATTCGGAGCCCATGTTTTCACAGACGATACTGTAACCACAAGACCAACACACACATTTAGGAGATGACAGCAGAAAGACTCATCTGTAGTAGCCTCACTTTGTGAAGTTGTGATAGTCATACCTGCATGAACAGGAGACTCTAGTTGTAGCTGGTTATCACTGGTGACCGGCTGACTGCTTGTCAGTGAATCTGTTATGGCTGATGGCATGGCTTGCATCGGGCTACCAGGTGACTCAGGACTTTTCATAACTGCTGAGTCAGTCACTTTGGTGGTTGCTGTGATGGGCAGGTGTGGCATCGCCATGGAAACAGGGGCTGAGTGCTCCTGTGACACACCGTTGGGTGGTGAGCTTCTCCTCAAAGGCACAGTGGAGTTTTCTGATTGGAGAGATGATGGATTGTGGTCAGTATGTTACAACTGAAGCAGTATAATGACCCAGTCACACCAAGAACAATAACTGTAAAGATAAATATTTTAGCATCCACACCAACACACGATAATGTTTTTGTTCATCATAAGAGCGCGTTACATCTATGCTGCCTGCCACTTTAAATGCTCCAGATCTTTAAAGTCAGGCTGATTGTGATTGGCCAGCTGGAGAAAAATCAGTTTTCAATCAAAAAACATTCTGAAAGTGATTCCAATTAAATTGTTCCTCCTTGCTGTTATCAATATAGTTATGGGTGTGGATTTCCATGTTCTCATAGTATTAGAATGGTGTGAGTTGGCCTTAAAAATACAATTCAGATAATGCTATTAAAACTTTTCAGACAAATAAAAAAAATTTAAAAAGATGAATAATTTAATAACACTGTAAATGTAATCTTTAGCAGATCTCAGAATTAATATCACATTTTTCATACTGTACATTATAACGCTGTGATGCCTAAAGTCATCTGTAGAATTTAAACACGATTGATAGATAAAACAGTGTGGCATTTTAATACCAGCCATTACATGAAAATAAATAGCTTTAAAACAAGCCCCTAAAAAACGAGTATCTTTCTCAAGAGGCCCAGTCCCAAATGGATAAGAACTGAAACAGGGTAAGGAACACGAGACACATGATGTGATTATCTAATAAACCCTAATCAGAGACATGAAAAGAGCCAAAGTGGCTCCAAATCAGTTCTTCAGTAGGGCACATTCTGCTAAAGCAAGTGAGTGATGTAATCTAATCAAAGACATTTGATGGGATTAGTGGGTTCACTAGGAAATCACTATGGAGACCAGTAATGTTTAAAGAAGCCTATCCCTAGCCTAAGCCTTTGATAGAATCAAAGCTCTGGATCAGGGCTGATGTGGGTCATCAATAAAGGTATGGCTGCTTTGCTGGTCTATTTTAATCTTTAATAGCCACTTGTGCCCTCTATGCACTCTTCTGTCTGACCTTAATGCAAGATCACATGCTGATATTAGTGCCTTGAAGTTAAATGCTGTCACCGCCTTGCTTCATTTCCTTCAGACCTCAACCATCAAATAGTAATACAGGTACAGATGTTTGGCTTTGGCTGCAATGAGCTAACCATTATAAAAGCAGATTGTCTCCTAAGGGGGTGACGGACAAGTTGTTTAAGGCCTGGAAGCAAACCAAACGAATGACTGTGCATGTTTAGATGTCTCTTGTGCTGTCATTAATTACCTGGCAGCTTATCAAAAAGTTCCTTTGTCTGCGGCCTGACCCTCACTAGTACATGCAAACACATGCTAATATGCTAACAAATGTGTCTTCGTGCACAGGCTATTAGGAGGAAGTGCTCATTTATGAGTGCAAATACAAAAACACAAGGATTAAAAATCAGGTACGCAATCAGTGCATTTTAAAAGAGAAATAAGTTCCTAGTGAGACTCAAAGAGTAATTGAATTGGAGGCCAGGTGACATCATATCTAAAGAATGCTGGAGGGGCGTGCAGTCGGAGGGGAGTAGCTGCCTGTCCCATTGAGAGAAGGAGATAGGGGGAGACAAAATTCACCTCAGCCATGAAACGTATCCAACTCTGATTTGCTCGCTGAACATGCAGGTTTTCAGTTCAGTGCAAACGTTTGGTGCTGGATTGCATCATGTGTCAGTCTCTCTAGGGGATATCAGCAGACTGAGTGATAGGGAACATGTATTATAGTGTTTTTGCGCAGCCTGAATTTGGAAAAACATTGCCTGCAGCCATTAAGGTTTGAATCTGAAATTCCTTCCAAATGCATTGGTTCAGGCACTATTTTGGCACGGAGGTCACCTGCTGCTCGGCCCCTGGACTAAATTAAGAGGTGTAGGGGGGAATCTAACCACACCCATCTCATGTTCCGCATGCACTCACCCCAATTGCTCTTTTTTTCCTCCAGGAACAACATATTCAGAGAATGCGTCATCACATTAATATAGAGGAGTAATAAAACAAGTGCAGGAAATAGGGAGGTGAGACAGAACATGTGGAAAAGCACTTTAGTATAAGGCTGCAACTATTTTGATAATCGATGAACTTCTTTAATTGATCAATTATTCGAGCATAGTATTGCACTGCTATAATAATATTACTTTTAATTTTGATTTTATTTGACAAACAAAGTTCTATCAACAATCATTTAGCTGTTCAGCCCAACTTCAATCTTAAAAGAATGATTCATTCACAAATCTGACAATGCCATCGGGTTTCGAAGCAGATCAGTGAGTTGTTAACTGCTGCAGTTGGATTAGATGAATTTACAAACGTTATTTGTGAACCTGTTCAACTGATTAATTGAAAAGACTGGCCTCAAAGAATGACATATTCACAAAATGGACATCGCTATCTGGTCTCAAACAGATCATTGAATCACTGACTTGATGACTGATGCAATCAGATCAGCGGAATTTACAACTGGATCATTCCTTGATATCTGCGAACTGGTTCAACTGATTCTTTGAAAATAATTGGCTCAAAAGAAAGATTTGTTCATGAACTGCACAACACAGTCAGGCATTGACTAATGACTATAACATTGAAAAGAGTTGTTAAATGCTGCGATTGGATCAGTCAAATTCACAAATGAACTGGTTCAACTGAATTATTGAAAAGAATCGGTGATTCGTTCAGAAATCGGACATAGCTATTGGGTCTCAGAGCAAGTCTCAAGCAGATCATTGCATCGTTAATTGCTGCAACTGGATCAGTCAAATTTACAAATTAATTAATTCATGTTATTTGTGAAACAGTTCAAATCGCTATTTGGTCTTGAACAAATCATCATTGAGTTGTTAACTGCTACAATCAGTCAAATTCACAACTGAAACATTCAATGCTATTGATGTGAACTGGTTCAACTGATTCATTTACAAGACAATTTTCAATATCAATTATCATCAACATGGCAATTTAGTTCTTCAGCCCGACTTCAGCCTGAGTCCTCTTGCCACACATAAGAGGGAAAAAAAATTTGGACAGCCCATCCTTTTGTCGCTCATCTCCTGTACGTGCTGTTCCTCCATAACTGAGGGCATTCATAGACAATAAGGGTGCTTTTGACAACAATGTTGTCTCTCAGACTATTCAAAACAGACCACTAGAGCACTGAATGCAGCCCCTTCAGAGACACAGTAATCACTCCTGCAGGTGAGAAGACAAGAAAAGGCCTTAAGGGGTCTTCAGTCCATTTGGTTTTTTCCTACAATAGGCCTACAAATACCGAATGCCTCTAAATGCGGTTACTATGTACAGTCCACTCAGACAATGGACTCCCCACACAGAAAGCCTTTCATGTGAGTCTAAATGTCCCTCTACGGCAAAAATAAGTATTTCCCCAGCATTCTGGCAGCCTGACTGTGCAATGCAGGGGTGCATAAAGGAATATTTTTCGGTGGATAATCACAAGGTTGTATTGTATATAATCTTGGAGTGTTTTGTTGGTGAGTGAAATATGAGTGTGGCAGCTTGAGCATTGTTACTGCAAGAGAAAACAGAGAGCTGCTCTGTGTATGATCAGAGAAATGAATGCCAGTTTTGATGAAGCGCTGTGTGTGTGCATGTCTGATTTTAAATGTATCTAAGGGGATATTCTTGCCTCACTGTGACATTTGAGATTCTTGGAACGTTGTGGTGGTGGGGGAATGGAATGGAACATTAACAACAATATAGGGCATGTTTGTGGGAGAACTCTAGAGGGTTCAGAGGACTAATTCCAGCCCCTGTCACTCAAATCCTACAGATAGCCAGCTCTAACAAAGCCCTCTCTGGTATTAATAAGCCATGCTGATAGTGCTATTTATATTTTCCAATGTACAAATAGCTGGGCTAACTTTTGGAGCAGGAGTGTCATGATCAGGAAAAGCAAACTGGATGCTGTTTAAGGTATAAATATACAGTGTAAAAAAATAAATAAATCATTTGTGATTGAAGAGAAATGTTTGTCCCCCCAATTTGGCTGAAAGTAATTTAAGGGTCATTTTTCCTGCTGTTAGAAAGTCAGAGAGAGGTAGAGTCTATAAAGCGGAGAAAGACAGGGATGGGATGCCTGGTTTGTGAGGGTCTTTGCTCTGTAATTTCCTTTAAAAACTCAAGTGTTTGTGAATAAAGAGGCCCAAACACCTGTTTTTCAAAGCCCCACAAAGCCCGCAATTTCTCTCTTCTAACAGAAGTAAGAATGGAAAGAAAACCTGTGCAGAGGCATTTGAACACTCAGCTGTGTGTGTGTGAACTACGAAAATTCCTCCTGATTTCTCAGGGAGTGGGTGTGCTTCATTTTCACTCCCACAATCACAAATGTACACTGTAAAAAGCCTTGACATCCTCTAGACCACATAAATTCAAGCCCTGAATCTGAACTTCTAATTTAATTTCATTGGTGTAACCAAATGTAGTCAAGTTTATTAAGTCATATTAAATACCATCCAGTCTGACCTTATTATGAATTATTAGGAGTCAGCATATTCAAGCTTTGAGGATTACTCTTTATTCTTGGCTCATTTTGAGTCAGACAAGACCAATTAAGTGATTTGTTAGCTTAAGATTTGTTTGATTACTGAATCAGTAAGTTTAACTGGTGCAACTGAATTATCTGAATTCCCAAATGAATCATTCAGTGCTGTTTGTGAAACAGTTTACTGAAAAGAATTGGCTGAAAGAGGTTTGCTTGATTTCACAAACGAATTAATGAATGTTATTTGTGAACTAGTTCAATCAGATTTGTCTCAAAAGAATGATTTGTTCACAAATCAGAATTCTGGAATGTTTTTACGTTTTTGTAGTTTGGTAAAGTTTCCAAAAATTTAAATACGTTAATATAGACTTGAGATATTTTGAAATCTATTTAACTTTGCTACTGTCCACCTGGTATTTTAAATGCTAACACATAAGTACATTTTAGGTTGCCTAACAAAAAATTTCTACACCTCTTTGGTTCATGTAAACTGTACATTTCTCATCTGTAAACATCAAAATCGTGTGTTCTGACGCATTGATGCAGGAGCTCCTAGACTCTTGAGAAACCTCTTCAGATTAAAACTACATGACCATGCAGCGAGTCCACTTCAACACGATTCGCTAAAGCACGATTGATAGTTTGTAGCCCAGAGGGACTCGCTACATCTACAGCCCCACCTGCAGATGGAGAACACAAATCTAGTCAGTGGTCAAACACACAGACAGTTTCAGGAGTTTGAACACAATATCTAAGAGCTTAAGTTGGTTTAGACTTTCTAGCACCGGCTGAGACACCAAGGGCCTTGTACTTTAATCTAGTGACACACACATGGGTGGATATGCAAGGTCTTGACTAAAACTTCTTCATCTAATTTCTCCCATTCTTGGCCCATACACATTCCTACAAGGCAGGACAATGGTTCCTGAAGGGCAGTGAGGTCATCCCGTAAACACCGAATTATTAACCTGTAACCACGGAGATGAAAATACATGGCATTGTCTGGAAGTAATTAGGAGAGCCAGGGGCAGCATGGGAGCGGCTGGATGCCTTTCTCTAGCCCCCCCATCCACAATCTATTCTCTCTTTTCCACCCTCCCTCTCACATTCCCTCACTCTTTCCCTCTTTCTCGCCCTCTCTTTCTCTCTCTCACACTCTACTGTATTAATAGCTGTGCAAAGGTTTTTTGTTCTACTCCTTCTTCTCTGCCAAGAATCTGTGCTGGACATGGAGATCCAGGCAGGGCAACAGGAGGAGATTAAACGATCTGTTCCATTGTGAGTGCATTGGCTTTGGGCCAGCGCCGGGCTAGAAACGTCAAACATGTCTCACACAAACACATGCAAACAAACACATGCTAGTATGTTCATTTAAGCTCCTTTAACCCTCCTGCCAAGGCGTAAAAATTATACAGGCGCATATTCATACGCATTAGCCTCATAAATAAAGGCTTGGAGTCCAGCAGCCTCGCAAATGTGGACGCTTAAGTGAATCTTTGCAAACAAATGCTCAGCCTTTAAGCCTTTGGAAGCCTACTTGGCTACCTGGCAGGCTGTCCAAATCTAGAAAACTCCCAGCATCAAAACCGAATTTAAAGCCCAGCACGTCAGATCAAACGGCATTCCTCTGGGCTTCATGTAACCAAAGTGGACCATTTTAAAAACAGCTCGACTTTGGCAATATTAGATGGCTGAATACTTGATGTACTGGCACTCTGGGGTGAAGCAAGTCAAAGCAAGGAGGGTGTTTCTCACACTGCCAGAGCCAAACATAGGATTTGAATTGCTGTTATGGTCATTTGGTGAAGCTTGGCAACATGGGGTATATGTAGAGGGAAAAAGGTCCTTGCTACAGATGTGTGGTGTGTATAAACATATCACAGAAGGCATAAATGTTTATGTTTACATTTAAGTCATAGCATAGTGAACGGTGTATGTCAAAACTATAAATGTTAATGGTTCTTTGCCAGTTTAAAACGTCTTGATTGAAAAATTCTTGCAATATGACAATCCACAGAAAAGACAGACATGAGGATGCATTTTCTTGAGCTCCTAAACAAAAATAATATACATATTAATTTGTTACATACTACTTCCTAAGTCAAATTTATATTATAACATTTACAGTTTATTTACTTTAATAGTACATCCTGAAAATGCTGTCTTCCCAGAGGAAAAAGTGCATTACGTCTGTTCTTAGGGTAAGTTTGGCTCAAGAAAATGCTGCAAATTCTGCTAGTTGCTACAAGCCTAGTGGAGGATGTTAAAGGAGTTGTTCACTTCCAGAATGAAAATTCTGCAATCATTTACTCACCCTCCACTTGTTCCAAACCTGTATGAGTTTCTTTCTTCTGTAGAACACAAAAGAAGATATTTTGAAAAGTGTTAGTATCTGAACAGTTGATGGGCACCATTGACTTCCATAGTA